GGCAGCGACTTTCCCGGCCCCTCCGGCGGCAGGGAGACCCACCAGTGCTGCTGCTCCCTCCACGACCAACACCCCCTGCACCCCCTCGGGCGGCGGCCTTGGAAGCTGCTGGTGCTTCCCAGCGGTGGCCGCCCCTTCAGCGCGCTCGCCAGGACTTGGTTGTGCGTGCGCCCACCTCCACCCCCCGACAGGGGCGTCTTTTGCCCGGCGGCCATGTGGACACCCTCCTGAGTCCATGGTCGGCCGGGGGGCTCCGGACCCGGCGTGCCTCGGAAGCTGCGCCCTTTCCGGCTCCTTCGGCTTGCCGGCACCTCGGTGCCTCCGCACCCCCACCCTGCTGGTGTCCTTGGTGGCCGTCCATACCGACACATCTTTGATTTCGGTGCACTCCGGGAGCTGCCCCCCCCTTTCCAGCTCCTTGGGCTCGTCAGCATCCTCGTTGCTCCGGTCCCGGTGATCCAGATCCCCGCTACCCTCCGGATCCTGGTTCATGCCAGCATCCGACCATCGTCACATTCCTCAACACCCCTCATTCCACCCAGCCGCCCACCTTCGTGCCCCGTCTGTCTCTCCCCTGCTCCACTGCTCGTGGGTCCAGCGGCGCCCATTGCCTCTTTGTCGGCAGGCGTGGCTCCCCTTCCTATGGTCATGGTTTCGGCCTATGCCTGACTTCCTCTTCTCCGACCCATACTCCGATGGCTTGGAATTGCTCGGACTCTGTCCAGGAAGAAATCCCTGCATTCTATGCTGGCAGCGGCGACACCTGCGGGTGTCGTTCCCTCTTGGAGGTGTTGCACGGTCCCTATCTGGGCCCCTCTTAGAGCATCAGGGGAAACCCTAGGTTCGGCTTTCCGGATCGGACGATGACGACGTCTCGGCGCCATACTCCTTCATGAAAGCGCTGTCTTGGTTGCTCGCGGCGTCCTCGGGTCTGGATCTGGAGATCTTGGTCATCGTGCTGTTGGTCTGAGCTACTTCTTAGGATGGCGAGTTTAGCTGTGTTTTTCTTGTTTGGGCCGAGCATCCCATCTCTCTCTGCTCTTGACACCATGTTCATGCCTCTTGCATCTGTGTCATGTGTCGTACTTGTTCTAACTTATTCTATGGATGGAATGATACACATGCGTATTCGTGAAAAAGTTATTTCAATCAAGAGAGTTGTTTTTCTAAGCCCAAGCACATTGTAGCCCTTATCCTTATCCTCCAACATTGCGTTAAGATATGTGCTAGTCAACTAATTTACTACATGAATGTTTTTTTTGTTTTTCTTAAATAAAATAATATTTAAAGAAACAAAAAAGAGAAAAGCTTATGAATGAACCGTGATGCAGAAAATGGATGGCTAAGATAAGGGGCTTCCTGTTCCTGGGTTCTACCACACCTTTCCCTTAAATCAAAGAAGACAAGTGCTAGGGTACGATCCGAAGGAGTAAGCAGAGGCACCGCAAACATATCTAAGCTAAGTTAGTCCAAGTGGATTTGGCCCACACCTTAGATGCCGTCACAGTAAAAAAAGTCACAAGAGCATCGTATTCATACTCAAGACTTATATCACTTGATACTGATATGTGAATTAAAATTCAAAAAAAATTTAACAAGTGTCATAGATGACTTTAATCTCTTTAAAATCCTTCATCCACTCAATATCACCGAGTTGTTGCGCATCTATATCAAAGGTTAGTCTTTCAGGATTAGCCAAACTTAACATTGACAGTTGTCGAAGCAAAGCATGTCAAACAAACACTAAGATAGGTACAAATTATTTGTGCAAACAAAATCATAATCCACAACAATACCAAACACTACCTCAGTTGCTTCACTCAGTTAGGTGATTGATATATAGTGTTTGCTGCATCTGCACTCAAGTCCTCTTTGCTTTCACTTTGATGTCATATTGAATTGCCAACACATTCAAAAGTCTTAACTTATGATAGCCAGGGTCACGTGTTACACTCCAAAACAAGCACACATATTCATCTAGGTGAAGTGCGAACAAATAATCAAATTTTAAACTGGTATTTTTGAAACGTGTCCTACACCTGTCTGGCCTTGGTTGATGAGCCACTTGCATAAATTGTACTTGTCTCTGTGCTAAAGTAAGAGCTCAATGAACTCCATCCTTGTGGAGGCCACACAAACGTTGGTTTCTTAGGAGGCACGGCCGGCGGTAGCTTTAACTTGGTGATAACCTGCACCACTTCCACCATGCTTGGCCGGTTCGACGGGTTTGGGTTGGTGCACGCCAAGCCAAGCAGCATTAGGCGTTTGGCGTCATCATCATCGAACCCCGCCATGGCAAGCACGGGATCCATGGCATCGAGCAACTTTTCCTCCCAATGGAAACGCCATATCCAGTCTGTGATGTGACCTTCAGACGGGACATCCCTGTCGAGCGCCCGTCTGCCGGTCACGATCTCGAGGACGACGACACCGAACGCATAGATGTCAGTCTCTCTCGTAGCTCTGTAGCTACAGGCGTACTCCGGCGCTATGTAGCCATGTGTCCCGGCGAGGCCGGTGACGGAGTTACGGTCAAGAGGGACCGTGCAGGCAATGCCGAAGTCACCCAGGCGGGCACCAAAGGTGGAATCGAGCATGATGTTTCTCGCCTTGATATCACGATGAAGAACTGTGGGCTCATACTCATGATGAACGTAGTGCAGGCCGGTGGCTATGTCCCTCACGATGGCATAGCGGGTGTCCCATAGGAGAATTGGTGTTCTTAGATGGAAGAGATGTTGGTCCAAGCTGCCATTGGGCATGAGCTCAAAGATGAGGAGGGGCTCCCCATCATGGTAAGACCAACCTGCAATATTAGTTGTTACAAAGTGAACCCCTAAAAAAGAGTTGTTACAAAGTGAAGCAAACTGGTTATTTGTAAATATGCATAGTGATCAGGGCTGCAAATTTGAAACATTTAGGGTACCTCGGACCTTTCTTAGTTAAATTAAATAAACTAAATTGTCAAAGAACACATATTTCTGCAAATTTAGCTGTTTTTTTTAATAAATAGGGTCCCAGGGCACCCTAAAGGTTCCAAATATGAATCCTGTCATGTTATGGTACATTCATCAAATAGAGCAAGTTTTAATTTCAACCTAGCAAGAAAAAAAATCATCAACCCCATTGAAAATGTGATGTTCTTTTTTTTGGAAAGGAGCACACAATCATATATTATTGATTATTCAATGATATACAAAACTCAGCATCGGTACTGAACAAATTGATTTACAACAGAAAGACGATAGAAAACCTGATACTCCCTCTTTTTCACAATGTAGTGCGTCCGCGCTTTCGAGATTTAAGTTTGACCATATATTTAACTTAGATCTCGAGAAGTACGGAATGGAGGGAGTACCATTCAACGGGAACCTACCACAAACCCTACAATAACGACTGGACAACGGAAAAATGATACTCCTAGGTTTGGCTACCGAAATCCAAAGAATTACCAAGATGGGGCGAGAAATAGAGTTACCGAAGAGCGTAGACACCAGAAAATACCAAACAAATACGCTCAAAAAAATCTAAACTAAATTTGAATTCAATGTTAATTGAGGCAGGTATTTATTTGTATTAAACTCATATTGTTTTGAAACTCGCTACCAACGCAGTGGTAGTCCTCCGCACGTGCCCTTAACGTTTTGAGTATGTGAGTTCAATCCCCCGACTGGCCTTTAACCTTTTACATGTTTACCACTACACCATTTTACTGCTTATTACTCTGAGAGTTTCCGTATTATTTAACTATACGTGCATTTATCAAATTCAATAAAATTTAAAAAATGGATTTTTTGTACATATTTTTCTTGTGGGGTAGCCAAAAACACACCGGACGGCATCCGTGTTTTTCGCCCGGTGCCCAAATCCTTTCCTAGACAAAGCCATTCAAGAAGGAAGGAAAATGTACTCCCTCCGTTTCAAATTACTCGTCGTGGTTTTAGTTTAAACTAAAACCACGACGAGTAATTTGAAACGGAGGGAGTATATAAATAAAGGAATGTTAACGTGTGCACGTGGCTACGTACCGATGAGAGGGACGATGTTCTTGTGGCGCAGACGGTTGATGACGCTGACCTCGTCCAGGAAGTCGTCGAAGCGCCGGTCGTCGTTTCGCGTGAACTTCTTGACGGCCACCTCCATTTCTGGACGGCCCGTTTCTAGTGCCGCAGGAAGCCTGCATCTGTACACGGAGCCAAAGGTTCCTGATCCCAACTTCATTGTGCCGTCAAAGTTCTTCGTGGCCTTCTTAATGTCGGAGAAGTCGATCCGACATGGCATCCCCGGGAGTCGTTGCATGGACTTGGCCAGCTGCTCCAGATCCTTCTTCCACCTCCTGTACCTGGAGTTGTAGTAAAAACCGACGGCGGCGGCACAGCAGCCGTGGAAGCCACAGATCCTAGAACGGCGAGCAGTATCACCAGCCATGACTTCTTATTATCATCCTTCTCGGCAGCCGGCGAGAGCCTCTCCACCGTCAGATCCCAGCCGCGGATGCCGGCGAGGACATAGGCCACCCTGGAGGCGGAGAAGCCGACGAACGCGGACTGGTTGGTGCGACCCGTCAAGTTGACGGCCGAGTCGCCGACGAGCTGATCGCGGGGCTTAGTCCGGCCGGCGGGGGCGACGAACACTCCTAGGCGGGACAGCACGGCGTTGTAGTCGATCCACACGGTCACGGTCGGCGTCGCGCTGCTGGGCGTGACGGTGACGTTGAGGCCCACGCGTGGAGACTCCGGGGCGTACGACTTCACCGTGCCAACCTTGACGGCGGCAAAGCGGTTGCTGCCCCGCTGCGTGGGGTCGCCCGGGCCGGAGATGAACGTCGTCACACTAATAAACTTTCCCTTATACGTCGGGAACCTGTCGAGGAGGACGACGAACGCCACAGGGGAGGTCCCGTCCATGGTGAAGCTTGTGTTGAAGGATGCCTGGCGGGGAGGTCCCTGCCGGCCATCACCGCCGCGCCAGAGCTCGACCGTCCGCGAGAGGACAACGAACCAGGCGGACTCGTTCACCGCGGAGAGGGTCGGGTGGTCGATGCCGAACAGGGTTGGACCTGACACTACCTGTGACTGGTTGGTGACGACCGTCAAGCCGTCGGCCGTGGTACTGTTGATGGTGGCGAAGCTATAGGCCACGACGTCGTCCCGCGCCGCCCAGGAGGAGCTCATCACTGAGCAGAGCAACAGGAGAGCTGCTAGAAGAAGGTTATGGTATCCCAGGCCCAACATCTTACTACTCGTCTGTTTTTAGAAATGGAATTCGACTGTGGATTAATCATCATGAACAGAACGGATGCGGTTTTATAGATGAGATTGAGACCTATCTGCATGGTTAGTCAAGAACCTAGGATTGGCTCCAAAGTAGATGAAACGGTCCAGACTCTTTTTTGCAAAACAGAAACGGTCTGCCCATGATACTTGTCCCACTAACTTCTGTTCATTCCTGTATTTTTTTTCCATGGTTAGAATAGTTGATGACAAGTTATACATGTACATATCCTAATAAAAAAATTACGAACACATCACAAAGTTTACACATGGGGGTTTAGTATTGGATTGCTTATATCAGTAAAAATGTCTGAGACAAAATTCTCATTCATACCGTAGAGTTGACTCTGGAGGGGCCGAGAGAAACAACTGAATTGAGTTTTTGTATATGTCAGTGGTTCGGTTGAACAGTATGGATATATACATATACTAGATGATCTTTAACTTTTCATTGTTAGAAGTTAGAACCCTGTCGAGGTCATTGTCCTGATGCACAAGATTATTCCAACAATGAATCGGAAAAAGTCTAAGCTCAACTATTTCGTGCTAGACGAAGATTCTGAAAGTCTAGCTAGCTTGGAGGCAAAGGATGCTATATTAAAAATGGTGAGCATTAGCAAGCTCTTCAGCTTTTGCAATGTCTACTCTTTGGTGAAGTCGTTGTCACACCTAGTAGTAAGGACAACGCTGAATCCGTCATGGCCGTAAAAAATGATTAGTCCCAACAATTTTGTGCCGTAGGGAAGTTCCCAAAGCCTAGCTTCCTTTACCACATACATAGTGCCTATTCAGTACTGGGTATTGCACATTAAAAACTCGACTGCACAAAAAGCTCACTATGCACGTAACTACTCCCTCCATTCATAAATATAAGATGTTTGGGATATTTCAGTATACGTCCGATTCTAAAAAAAGTTAGTACATCTTATATTTGTGAACGAAGGGAGCAAGTGGAGCAAGTGCTAATTATCTCATCTACATGATCCACATTGGATATGCACAATGCAACCATCATGTAGGCTCACACATATGAGGTTCCTACAAACTATTAATCACAAAAGGCAGCAGTAGGTTCACCAAACTTCAGTATGAACAATCAACTCTACAGCCACTACAAAAGGTCAAAGATCACCATGCTAAGACAATTGACAGATAAGCAGTCATGCAGTTGTAGGATCTTTCCCAGGCACGGTAAACCAATTAAGTTAACAACTTGCACCATAGTAACCACCATAATAAGTTCAGATAAATACGGTGGTTAAATTGGATACATACTAAGGCAATTTATTGGCTTGGTAACTACTGATCACCATACCAACTTGGAAGCAGCTGGAACAGCAATAACATCTTCACTTCAGTGATTCAGTCCTGAGGGAAGAGCCATGCTGCAAGACACATCTCATCACAACGTTTCCAGGAGATCATTGGATGAGGGGAAGAGACCTTGCCGTCTCTCATGTTATAGGCACTGCAAAAGGTGTTCTCATCATAGCCGTATTTCACACGATTCACTTCGTCATCATCCAAGAAAAAGATGTGATCACCGGGCAACCCATACTGAGACACAGAGACAGCCCTGGAGCACCTTCTCCCAAGAAACAGCACCTGGTCATCCCCCACAGTTGTCACCTTCACCCACCGTGAATGCGCAAAGTCAGCCTCGAATACCTCAAACTCATTCCCGAAAGAAAAATCTCCGTCTTCAAGTTCAGGAACCCAAATCTTCCTGCATACCATCAGCAATTTACCGCGTGATTCAACCAGGTAGAGCTTCTTGCCGGGCGTATTGTCGTCTTCGGACGCAACTGTCTGCCAGGGATCACCCTTGATGACCTGTCCAACTCGAGAGACCTGTGGATCCCCGGTGCATTGGTGCTGGCTGATGTTCACCACAAAGAGGTTCTCATCATTGGCAATGGCATAGAGCTTGCCCTGGTAGAAGGCCATGTCTTCGTAAAGCTTACACTTGTCATACGCGCGTACTGACCACGACGAGGCCCCCGGCTGGCACATTAGAATCTGACTGGCGCCTCCTGGATGGCATATTGGAAGGTGACAGGGTCTTCCAACACCGACCAGCGCAGCAACAAGGTTGGGGGAGCACAATATTATCTTGCTCATGCGCAGCTTCCCTTCCATGTCCTCTATATGCATCCATGTGGTGTAAGGGTCGGGGGAGCGCTCCCCGTCTTCCCATTTTGTCCATTTCTGGACTGCGTTTGGAGGACGCAGCCGGACGCGCGAGAGAGGAGGGAGCCTGACGGTGGCCCTGGCGAACGGGTCATGCAGGAAGCACCCGTCGTCGCGCGGGAAGACGAGCCAGCTGCCGCAGACGCCCTGGTACCCGGCGAAGCCGAATCCCGGGAAGCGGAAGGGCTTGGCGTAGGGGAGGCTGTAGAAGGTGCCGTCCGGGAGAGCGAGCAGCGGCAGCGGCGGGTGCAGGCGGAGGAACTGCTGCGCGACGTTGCGCCACTGCGGGCACACGGCGGCGAAGAGGGCGCGGTCGGCGTACGCGGGGAGGAGGCGGAGCACCAGGCTCGCCAGGTCCAGCGGGATGGCCGACCACGACGGCGGCGGCGAGCGCGGCTGCGTCTCCGCCATCGTTCCTGCGAGAATACTCAGTAGGTGAGATGAGATCCTAGTTCATCGCAACCGACCAAGCACGCGAAGCGTCGAGCACTTGGCGTGCACGGTTCAGCGGATGGGATACCACCATTCCACCACCGGAGTTTAGAGGAGAGGGAGGAGGAAGAGGCGCATACCGGATCTTAGAGGCGGGCACCAGATGTCATAGGCTGGTGGCGGAGTCGGCGTCGATCGCGCCGGCGAGGAACCTAATCGTACCGCCGCCGCTGCCGCCGCTGCTGTGTGGAAGTTAAGGTAGGGTCTGCTCTGCCTTTTTGTTGTTGTAGTGGAACACAAAGGTCTGCTCTGCCGGGTGAGCCGTGTGCTGTTTCGAGAAATGGGCCGCGGCCTGGTCTGGTCCAGGGCGCTCCCGGCGAGACGCTGCTGCATGCATGCAGGCAGCTCCCGCCTCGCCTCGACCTCCGGGCTCGGCGGGATCCACTAATTCCTCGCTTCCAATGCATGGCGTCCTGCTCCTACATGTCGTCCCCGACCTTCCCTCTCCTCTCGTTCCTTCCTCCCCCCTGTTTCTCTCCCTTCCGCTCTCCTGTCTGTTCCGCACAGCGCGTCGGGCGTCCTGCTCCCGTTGGCCGGTCGGCATTATTGATGCGGTGGTGGTCGTGTCATGAGGAAGCTGTGCCCGAACCATGACCGCGACGACTCCCAGCTGGACACCGTGCTGGAGGTGCCCATCCCCGATGAGATGCTCGCCAACGCCCCCGGCGCCGACAAGCGCCGGGGCGGCGGTCCCAACATGCGCGCCTGGCTCAAGACCCAGGCGTTCGACCGCGCAACCGCCGAAGGGCCCGCCGCTGCCGCCGCCAACGCCGAGCTCCAGCTCTTCCTCAACGTCGTCGGCTCGCCGCTCATCCCCTGCCCCGTCCCCCACGACCGCGCCTTCAGCCGCTCCATCCGCGACTCCTCCATCGTAAGCCTTGCATGCATGCTCCGTGCACGCCACATCAACAGCAGCACAAACGATTGAATTGATTCTTGACACGCGTAGCGTACGTGTGTTTGGTTGTGTGGATGCATGAATGAAGCAAGCGTCGACGGCCAAATACATCATGCAGCAGTACATCGCGGCCACGGGCGGGCAGGCGGCGCTGCAGGGCGTGCAGAGCATGTACGCCGTCGGGAAGGTGAAGATGTGCGCGTCCGAGTTCCACCTCGGCGACCAGACCGTCACCGCCGCCCAGGGACGCGCTGAGGTCGGCGGCTTCGTGCTCTGGCAGAAGTGCCCCGAGGTCTGGTACTTCGAGCTCATCATGGCCGGTCACAAGATGAGCGCCGGCAGCGACGGCAAGGTCGCCTGGCGCCAGTCCGCCGCCGAGAACTCCCATGCCTCCCGCGGCCCGCCCCGCCCACTCCGCCGGTCCCTCCAGGCACGCCCACGTATCCTACAACCGGATGCATCGATCAATTCGAGACCTTCTTGACGCATGCATGCATGGCCTGCAGGGTCTGGACCCGCGGTCGATCGCGAACCTCTTCTCCGACGCGGTATGCATCGGCGAGAAGGTCATCAACGGCGAGGAGTGCTTCATCCTGAAGCTGGAGGCGAGCGCCATGACGCTGCGGGCGCGGAGCGCGGCGGCGTTCGACATCATCCACCACACGGTGTGGGGATACTTCAGCCAGCGCACGGGCCTGCTCATCCAGCTCGAGGACAACCACCTGCTCCGCATGAAGTCCGGCAAGGGCGCGCGACGCAGCGAGAACATCTTCTGGGAGACCAGCATGGAGTCCGTCATCAACAACTACCGCCACATCGACGGCGTCAACATCGCGCACGGCGGCAAAACCACCGTCACGCTCTTCCGCTACGGCGAGGGCTCCGTCAACCACAAGAGGAAGCTGGAGGAGACGTGGACGGTGGAGGAGGCCGACTTCAACGTGAAAGGCCTCACCTCCGACTACTTCCTGCCGCCGTCAGACCTCAAGAAGGAGGGCGACGACCAGCCCGGCGGATGACCGGACACCGCGAATAATCAAGTGCTCGCGGTAGTGCTAATTTGAAACAACGTTAATCCAAGGACATCGAAATCCATTCCAGGCTAATCTTTTCTGTAGACGTGGCCATAGCTGTATGTGTGTTGATTCTTCTTTCAACCAATCGCAAAGTACGCCATGATCCACGAATAGAATTACTTAAGTTTCTTCTCTCTTCTATGGGAAAGCATGGCTATGAAGTAGTAGTACATAAATATTAATATTTTTTAAAATTGAAGTAGTACATAAATATGTACTTGGAAATTGCTGTGGTAGATACTCTAGGTCCTCCCAGGTAGCCGGAGCAGCATCAGCACCGCTCCACTGAACGAGTACTTGAGGAATAGTATGAAGTCTACGCTGTCGACCCCGGTGCTGGAGAACCTGGACAGGCACTGCTTGAGGTAAAGCATCTCAGTATGGAAGAGATGTTTGTACCTCAAGTGGAAAAGTAACATAGCGTTTCAACTGAGGAACATGGAACACTTGATGAACTCTGTTTGAACTAGGCAATTCTAATTGATACACCGGTTGGCCAATCTTTTAAGTAATGGTATATATGGCCCATAGTACTTGGAGGGCAATTTATGATTAGCTAACCTGACAAAAGGATTGGACATAAGGCAGCAATTTCAAAAACACCTTGTCACCAACTACAAACTGTATGCTAGTTATGTTCTTATCTGCTTGAAATATTATCTTTTGCTGAGCTCATTGAAGATGTTGTCTGACTAAATCAACAACAAGAGCTCTCTGTTCCAGCCAAACAACAATATCAGGAAATGCTACAGTATCAGAAGCAGAAATATCAAAGTATCTTGGAGCTTGTCCATATATAATCTCAAATGGAGTCTTGCCAACAGAGGAATGGCATTGGTATTGTACCAGAATTCACAAAGAGAAAGCCACTTGGACCAATAGGATGGAGATGAAGCACATGAAATAGTGTTTTATCTGCTGGTTTACCTTCTCAGTTTGGCCATCTATTTCAGGATGGTTGGTTGTGCTCATTTTCAGTTCACTTCCGGTTGCCTGGATTACAGTTTTCCAGAAGGAACTATATTTGGCATGATATGTAACTTGTGTACATTATCATTGAAGGCTTCTGCAACAATTTGAGCAGAGAAAAGATGATGTAAAGGGATAAACTGGCCATATTTAGTGAAATTATCAATTACCACTAAAATGCAGTTATACCCCACATAAGTAGGCAAGCCACTATAAAATCCGTTGTGACCATCTCCCAAGCTTGACGAGGAATGAGTAATGATAACAACCCAGGATAAGCAACTCTTTCAGTTTTAGCTTGTTGACAAATAAGACAAGCCTGAACGATTTCCTTAATAAACTTCCTCATGCCAATCAAATAGAAAAGACTATGAATTCTCTTGTAGGTTGTTGGAGAACTAGAATGACCATCTATAGGACTGCCATGAAAAGCTCTGACAATGGAAGCATGGAGAGTAGGTGTATTACCAATCCAAATCCTTCCTTTGTACTTAATCATACCATTTTGCAAATAGTAACATGGTTGAGAAGTAGGAGATACGCTTAAGTATTGGAGTAATTCCCGAGCTTTAGAATCATTGTCAATCTCTTGAAACCGCAAAGGAGTTATTGCGGAGAGTGCCAACACATGAGAATCACTGTGTGGCATTCTGGAAAGAGCATCAACAACTGAATTAGTAGTACCTTTCTTGTACACAATTGCATGCCCATCATTTTAGTGAGGGCTTTTTGATGCCAAGTTGTATGCAAATGCTATGTTTCCAACTCTGCTAATTTATTTTGGTATGTTTTTAATTGTGAGCTCCATAACCTGCAAATATGGCCTCCAATATTCAAGTGCTAACATAGTAGCTAGATATTCATTTTCATACACTGACTGATTGGTCCCAAGGTCTTTCTCACATAAGCTAGAGGATGACCTGGCTTCATTAAAACAACACCAACTTCTTTGTCACATGCATCAATTTCAATAACAAAAGGCTTATGAAAAAGGAAGAGCCAAAAGTAGTGCAGTCATAAGTGCCTTTTTAGTGTTTGAAAAGCTAATTCAGTTTCAGATGTCCACAAGAATTGAACTCCTTTCTTGATAAATCGAGTGAGTGGTTTGTTGATTAACCCATAATGATGAATGACTTTCTAGCCTGTAATACCCATAAACCATCTGATTTCTTTCCCATCCACTAGAACAAGGCCAAGTAGCTATAGTGGCAATTTTGCTTGGATTTGTAATGACTCCCTCTTGACTAATAACATGTCCCAAATAACCAATACTTCTCTGAGACGTGATACTGTCCACTATTCAACTACTTTGGATTACTCTGATAACCCGAATGTTGCTGCTGCTGAGCCCCCTGACCAGGCTGCTGATTATAACCACCCCAATTGCCTTGATTGCCCTGGCCTTGAAAACCGGAATTAGAACCTCCACCTCCATAACCCGGACCGTGAGAACCGGGACCTGAGCCGCCGCCCGACTCATGATTATTTTGGAAAAGACCGGAATTTTTGTACTCTTTCATGATGAAACAATCTTTCCAGAGGTGAGCAGATGGCCTTTCCTGTGTACTATGCTTCGGGCAGGGCTGATTCAACATCTGCTCAAGATTGAAACTTGACCCTCCAAACCGGGGAGGCAACTTTCCCTTACGACGTTGACCATTATTCTGCGTGTTGGTATTAGCCACAAAGTCCAAACTGTTATCAGCCTTGCGCTTACCATTGCCCCCCTGATTCACCGGGTTACGATGTTGGCTCTTGGTGCTGCTACTCTTCATTACCTTTCCCGGCTTTTCATCATCAGACTCGGGGTCCTTGGTACCATCAGAGTCGGCATACTTAACCAGAGCCGCCATCAGTTCCCCCATGTCGCTGCAGTGGTGCTTGAGCCACCCTAGCTTCTGTTTAAGGGGCAGAAAACGACAATTCTTCTCTAACATCAATACTGCTGAACCGGCATTGATGCGATCCGACGAGTGCAGGATAGTTGAGACCCGGCGCACCCAATGGGTTGTCGACTCACCCTCTTCCTGGACATAGGCGTCCAAATCCACAATTGACATTGGCTGCTTGCACGTATCTTTAAAATTCTGAATAAACCGGGCTTTTTAACTCGGCCCACGAGCCAATGGAGTTGGCAGGTAGCCCTTTCAACCAAGTGCGAGCCGTTCCATCCAACATCATGGTGAAATACTTAGCACATGAAGCATCGCTAACATCCAGCAGTTCCATGGCCATCTCGTAACTCTTGACCCAAGCTTCAGGGGGTAAGTCAGCGGTGTAGTTAGGCACCTTGCGAGGACCCTTGAAATCTTTAGGCAAATACTCATTACGTAGAGCCGGCACTAAACATGGCACACCCAAAGTTCTGAAGGTCAAGCCTGTTTCCACTGAATTTGTTGGATGAGCCGGAGAATGCTGACGAGCCGCGTATTGAGCCGCCAACTCAGCCTCCCGACACACTCTACCCTGATCCACAACATTCTGAGCATTACCTCCACCACGCGCCGGCTCATGCCCACGAGGCGGGTTGCGGTTTCGTCCACTGCTTGACACGGATGGGTCATCAATATGCCTGCTATAACTTTTTCTCGGACGTGGCGTGGAGTGGATACGGTCCCGACTATATGAATAAGCGGCCTGTTGGGCCACAACCGTCTGGAGCAGCTCCCCGGCTCGTCGTATTTCCACCGCTGCCGGTGATTCGCCCTCAACCGGCAGAGCCACCAGCCATGTCGCCGCGACAATCATGTTATCCAAAGGATTAGAATAATGACCCGGTGGTGTTGGTTCATACTGAGGCGGAGTAGTATTCAGACGAGGCGGCTCCGTCGTGCGTGGCTGGGTTGGCGCTCCAGCCCTAGGTGCTGCAACCTGGTTTATCTCTAGTTGGTTACTGGTCCCCGCTCCAGGTGTGCAAAAGAGGTTTCTCGCCTCGTAAACCGGAGGTAGACGACACTGATGCCTCCTCCTCATGACTTCATTTGAAGCGTTGACCCATCATAAAGCCGAAAGGCCTCTTATTGAATCCGATGTTCCTGAGCATCTAAAGCAGCCCGCTCTGTGGCCATCCTGACATTCTCTACGTTCAGCTCCTCCTTGGCCTATGCTATCTCATCATGCAACTTTGTAACTTCCGCGTTATGCTGAACTTGATTTGTCGGGTTAACCTCCGCTATTAACAATGCTGTCAGATTATCCAGCAAATCAGTCAAAACCTGAGCCGGCGGACGCACATGACCTCCTGCCCTGGCTGCCATTGCCGTTGCTGACACGGAGACCATTGCTGCCGTAGTCGAAGAATTCTGCGCTGGCTGTGTACCGGCCATGAAAATCACAACCCTATTTGGCGGCTCATAGGGGTCTGGAATACTATCGCCATCGGAATAGCCCCCAAGCTGGCCATCTTGCAGTTGGTACAGCGAATCAGTGTCACCAATGGACGACTCACGATCGGAGTAGACAACCTTCTCACCAACAGACACTGATCTATCCTCAGATTCCGCCCCATGGATGAATCCCACGAAAGCGCGCTTCACGGCGGGCTGAACTCGGGCGGATCGTGCACGCTGAGCCATCTTGATGATGTCGGTGCAGATGTCCGGCTCAGGGCCCGGTTCACCGATCTTGCCGATGAAAACGTGGATTCCGCCGAAGGGGACCCGTACCCGTACTCAATTGAGCCGGCCTCGGGCCCCAGCCCGCATCGTCGATGTAGAGCTTGCTGCGATGACTCTTGGTTATCCGGCCCACAGTGTATCCCTTGATCCCTTTGAAGCTTCCCTTCAAGAACTCGAAAATATTGTGCGCTGGCCCCATGCTGGGCGCCAACTGTCGTGGAATTGTCACGACAGATGTCCTAGTGTGAGGACTTAGTCGTGGAGCCATCGCAACTAGGTTAGCTTAAAGGGGTTAAACGGGACAAAGGACACATGAGTTTATACTGGTTCGGCCCCTTGCGGTGAAGGTAAAGGCCT